GCTTGCCAGGCAGGCACTGTGCCCCTGAGCTAAATCCCCAGCCCCTCCTCCTGCTTCTTGTTTGCCCCTGTGGTCGGCAAATCTTTTGCCGAGGGTTGGGATCACAGCCAGGTGACTCACAATTACTAAGTACTCTCTCAGGTGGTCTAATTTGGGGTATGGAATGATCGCCCGACCTCGCCCACAGCCCTGTCCCGGCTAGTAGAGGTTTCCAAGGTCTGTAGTGCTTCTGGATGTAAGGTTTTTTGTTTTTTTGGTTTTTTTGGTTCTCGGAATCGAACTCAGGACCTTGCGCTTGCCAGGCAGGCGCTTGTGCAGCTGAGCTGTCTCCCCAGCCCTACTGTAGTGCTTCTGGAAAAGGGACCATTCATTCAAAGGGCACAGCAGGCTCAGGGCGAGGCCGCGAGGACAGCGGTGGGGAGGCCGGTCAGGGCTCCTCAGGGACCTTGCAATTTGGTAGAGGAACAGAATTTGTTTAAACATTTTTTCCTTGTGGTTTTAGGGAGTCAAATCCAAGATCCTGCTCTTCTTAGTGTTGTGTCACGAACTATGCCACCCTCCGCCCTATCCCTGGAGAGGTGGAATCACACCCACAAAGATACAAACTATAAGCGCTACACAAAGAACCGCCGGTGTGTGCGGCTGAGAGGGGTGGGCAGGCCCTTGAGGTCTTGAAGAAACAGTTGAAGAATGGATAAGAGCAATTTGTGCACTGGAACAGCATGTGCAAAGCCCCTGAGACAATAAAGAAACGGAAAGGAGGCCAACAGGGCCGTAAAGCTGGAAAAGAATTAGAAAAAGGCTGGAGAACAGGCTAGTTTTATCATAGGAAATGTTAGAATACTTACTGTGTGTGAGTTTCTACGACCGCTGTAACGAATTGCCAAGCATTTTATGGCTCAGAACAGAAATTTACTCTCTTACAGTTCTGGAGACCAGATGTCCAAAACCAAGACACCCGCAGGGCCATATTTCCCCGAAGGCACTAAAAGAGAATCCTCCCTTGTTTTTCCAGTCTCTGATGGCCCTAAGCCTGCCCTGGCTGTGGCTGCATCACTGCTTCCACGTTTATCTTCATCCTGTCTTCTTTGTGTTTCTCTTCTGTCTCCTATAAAGGACACCTGTCTTGGGTTTTGGGTCCTACTTGGTTGTGTTTTGTTTTGGTTTTTTGTCTTTTCGGTACCAGAAATCGAACTCAGGACCTTGCACTTGCCAGGCAGGCACTTACGCCGCTGAGCTATATCCCTGGCCCCCCAACCTGGTTAATCTATAATTACACCTGCAAAGACCTTTGTTCCAGATAGGGTCACAGACCAGGAATTACGACTCTTTTTTTTTTTGATGCCTCCAATAACCCATTATACTGATTTTGCAAATGAATGAAATTTGACCTCGTTGGGTGGTCAGAGTTACAGATTGTTAAGTAGGTTAGAAGCACTATACACTGGTTTTTATTTATTTTTTTTTTTTTTTAATGTAGGTACTGGGGATTGAACTCAGAGCCTTTACACTGAGCTATGTCCCAAGCTCTTTAAAAAAAATTTTTAAAACAATTTTTGAGACTGGGTCTCAAAAAGATGCTACGTTGCCTAGATTGGGCTCAGACTTGCAATCCTGCCTCAGCCGCCCAGAGTGCTGAGATTGCAGGTATGTGTTTCCATGTCCAGCACAGAATTTTTCTTCTTACCCTTTGGTACTTTCGGTTTTTTCCCTTGTACCGGAGAATAAATC